GGCCTTGTACTCCAAGCAGCGAGCGTTGAGGGACAAGGTCGGGAAACAGATGTTGCACTACGACAATCTTGCGATGACGACAAACAGGACAATGTACCGCCGCATGAAGAAGCAAAGCGTCAGGGAAGCTCGGGTTACCGAGAAGCTTGAGAAGCAGCAGCGCGACGCGCGGGAGAACAGGGAGCGCAAGAAGCATGTCGAGTTCTTGCAGGCGGTGCAAAACCACAAGGTGGAGATACAGAACGCTGCATCGATTCAGCGTAACAAGCTGCAGAAGATGGGCCGTCTCATGTATGCGCATCACTTTAACATCGAGAAGGAAGAGCAGAAGAGGGTTGAAAGGACAGCCAAGCAGCGTTTGCAGGCGCTCAAGGCCAACGATGAAGAGGCTTATCTCAAGCTGCTTGACCAGGCCAAGGATACCCGTATTACTCACCTTTTGCGCCAGACCGACGGTTTCCTTCACCAGCTCGCCTCCTCGGTTCGCGCTCAACAGCGCGAGGCCGCCGAGCGTTATGGCGACGATATCCAGGGCATCCCAGAAGAGGAAAGCGATGTGGACGAGGACGAGGAAAGTAGCAGGAAGATCGACTACTATGCTGTTGCGCACAGGATCAAGGAAGAGGTTACGGAGCAAGCCAGCATTTTGGTCGGCGGTACTCTCAAGGAGTACCAGCTCAAGGGTCTGCAGTGGATGTTGTCGCTCTACAACAACAACCTCAACGGTATCTTGGCCGACGAAATGGGTCTCGGCAAAACCATTCAGACCATCAGTTTGGTCACGTACCTCATCGAGAAGAAGCAGCAGAATGGACCGTACCTGGTTATCGTTCCGCTCAGTACGCTCACCAACTGGAACCTCGAATTCGACAAGTGGGCGCCATCTGTCGCCAAGATCGTCTACAAGGGTCCTCCCAATACCCGCAAGTTGCAGCAGGAGAAGATTCGCCGTGGTGAGTTCCAGGTTCTGCTTACGACATACGAGTACATCATCAAGGATCGTCCGCTTCTCAGCAAGATCAAGTGGTTCCACATGATCATTGATGAAGGTCATCGTATGAAGAACAGTAACTCCAAGTTGAGCGCCACCATCCAGCAGTTTTACAGCACCAGGTTCCGTTTGATTCTGACGGGTACTCCTTTGCAAAACAACCTTGCCGAACTGTGGTCCATGCTCAACTTCGTCCTGCCAAACATTTTCAAGTCAGCCAAGACTTTCGATGAATGGTTCAACACCCCCTTCGCCAACACGGGTGGTCAGGACAAGATGGAGCTCACAGAAGAAGAGCAGATTCTCGTCATTCGTCGTCTACACAAGGTGTTGCGACCCTTCTTGCTGCGTCGTCTCAAGAAGGATGTCGAAAAGGATCTACCAGACAAGACCGAAAAGGTCATCAAGTGCAAGTTCTCTGCCCTGCAGCAGCGTCTGTACAAGCAGATGGTTACCCACCAAAAGATTCTCGTCAGCGACGGAAAGGGTGGCAAGACTGGTGCTCGTGGTCTGAGCAACATGATCATGCAGCTCCGCAAGCTTTGCAACCATCCGTTTGTGTTTGACGAAGTCGAGAACCAGATGAACCCGACCAATACCAGCAACGATCTGTTGTGGAGAACGGCTGGTAAGTTCGAGCTCCTGGACCGTGTGCTGCCCAAGTACAAGGCAACGGGCCATCGTGTCCTGATGTTCTTCCAAATGACTGCCATCATGGACATCATGGAAGATTTCCTCAGGTTCCGCGGTATTCAGTATCTCCGTCTCGATGGTACCACCAAGGCCGAGGACCGTTCCGAACTCTTGAGGCTCTTCAACGCCCCTGATTCGCCTTACTTCATGTTCCTTCTGTCCACCCGTGCTGGCGGTTTGGGTCTCAACTTGCAAACCGCCGATACCGTCATCATCTACGACTCGGATTGGAACCCTCATCAGGATTTGCAAGCTCAAGATCGTGCCCATCGTATCGGTCAGAAGAACGAAGTGCGTATCTTGCGTCTTATCAGTTCGGCTTCCGTCGAAGAAAAGATCTTGGAGCGTGCCAGGTTCAAGCTTGACATGGACGGCAAGGTCATTCAGGCCGGTCGTTTCGATAACAAGTCCTCAGAAACCGATCGTGATGCCATGCTCAGGACTTTGCTTGAGACGGCAGACATGGCGGAAGCGGGTGAGCAGGAAGAGATGGACGACGAGGAGTTGAATATGATTTTGGCTCGTAACGAGGATGAGCTGGTCACGTTCCAACAGATCGACGAGGAAAGAGCCCGCGATCCTATTTACGGCACGGCCCCAGGCTGCAAGGCCGTCCCGCGTCTCATGGCTGAGAAGGAACTTCCCGATATCTACCTTCAAGAGGGCAACCCTATCGAGGAAGAAGAAGCCGTCTCTCTTGGTCGCGGTGCTCGTGAGCGCACAAAGGTCAAGTACGACGACGGTCTCACAGAAGAACAATGGCTCATGGCGGTGGACGACGACGACGATTCGCCGGAGGCTGCGGCGGCTCGCAAGGCGGCTCGCAAGGAACGCCGCGAGCAGAACAGGCTCAAGAAGATGGCGATCCTTAACAATGCTTCCGGTTCTGTCGATGCCTCACCAAGTGTCAGTCGCGCTAGTACTGAGGAGGTGGAAGTTGCTCCCACACCGAAGAAGCGTGGTCGCAAGCCTGGCAGCAAGAATCTCGAGAAGCGCCCTAGGGAGGACGGTGAGGACGAGCCTCCTGCAAAGAAGCGTCGCGGACCCGGCGGCCGGCCCAAGACGGTAGCAAACGGCGATAGTCGCATGTCTGGGGAGATGCGCACTAAGCTGCAGCAGAGCATGAGGCGGATCTTTGATGGATTGATGAACCTCGAAGTGGAGGACGATGCGCCTGAGGAGAACCCTGACGACAAGGACGACGATGAGGGTCCTCCTACCAGGTTGATCATCGGTCCCTTCGTCAAGTTGCCCCCTAAGCGCGAATGGCCCGATTACTACCTCATGATTACAAACCCAATCTGCATGAAGGATATCGAAAAGAAGATGAAGAAGGAGGACTACCACTCGTTGTCGGATATGCGGAAGGACCTGGAGCTGCTGGTTAGCAACTGCAGGACGTTCAACGAGGAGACATCCATGATTTGCATAGATGCGAACAGGATAGAGGTATGTTTCTGCTGCTGTTTTTGTCAGTCAAATGACCGTTCACTAACACACGTCATATAACAGGCTCACTTCAAGGCTCAGTTCGAAAAGGAGCTGAACGATCACCCCGAGCTCCGCACCCTTGAGGATCCTTCCTCTTCATCCTTCTCCGTGGGAGCACCATCCACAAAGGATGGCTCTGTCGCCCCGTCTACGATCACAAACTCAACTGAAACACCCCAGCCGACATCGGCACCCGCCGCCCCAGCGGCAGCACCAACCCAACCCACCAGGATCAAGCTCGTGTCTAGCTCAACATCTTACAACAACGCTGCTTCCTCAGCCAGTGGAACGTCGACATCGGCGGTGAACAGCATGAGTGTCAGTCAGGTGATTAACGGCACAAACGGTGCAGGCAGCGAAGCCGGTGATGAGGATTAGCGGGCTCATTGCGTTCGGCGTTCGGGTCGGTCGCGCTCAAGAATGGCCAGATATGAGGAAAGTGATGAAGACGAAGAAGATGAAGAAGATGAAGAAGAAGAAGAAGAAGAAGGATATGAAGATGATGAAGAAGAAGAAGAGTAACTGGGGCTCTTTTAAGTCTTTAAGGTGTCGATGGATGAAGGAGCTAGAAACGGCGGATGGACGGATGAATGGATCGAATCAATCAGATTACTACCACAGAATAGTAGTAGTTCTTGTATACATAAAACCTACGGAAAGTTTTTTTCCCTGAAAGTACGTACGTACATATGGCATGGGGCGGTATGGTATGGCTTGGTATGGCATTTTCTGTCGGTTGTTGGACTTTTGATAGCCCCTAAGAAAGAAAGAGGAAGAAAGGATAAGAAAGAATTAAACATAAAGCAGAGATGAAAGATGCGAAGATGAAAGACGTGGAAGGGTTATGGATGACGTTTTGTTTTTCGGTTCGGCTTTCTCTTGGTAGTGCTAGGTTCCTGTGGTAAGAGGGTCGGTGGTGATAACTGACAGCATTGACATAGGATAGTTAGCAAGACATTTGTGTTATGCTTATGGTTTTGATTGAATGCTATGATTGAGGCTTGATGTTGCGGTGGCCGTTGATAGTGTTAATGAAGCAGCAACTTAAAATACACGAGCTTCTTGTCCAACTTCTTTCGTCTTCTTCCATGTGGCCTCTTGATATGTTTGTGGCCGCTGTGTCTTTGGTGAGGAGGCACCTTCGCTTGCTGGATTGCGTATAACTTTGTTTATGGTTCAAAAGCGAATAATCGATTATAGATAGCTATGACATCCCTGCTACCGATTGTACGGACTTGAAAGTGGCTCTGTTCTGATGGATTAATTGAAAATTCATTCGTGAGCTTTCTCCCGTTATTGGAGACTGATTGATCTTCATTCTGTCAGTCACTGTCATCTATGTGCTATATAAACCATGCCCAGCAGATAGATATCTCCATCTGGCGTTGAGATTCCCACAAGTGCCCAAGGTTCTTGGTTTGCCTCTGGCAAGAGCGAGTGTATGATGCGTGTCTGGATACGTGCAAGTGAATGCAATCTGTGAAAGAGAACGGTGATGTTAGTTTTCATGGGGTAATTGAAAAAAAGGGGAGGAGAATCAAGTTCCGAATCAAAACTTGCCAGTCACTCATTCAGGCGAGGAATATGAAGCATACTCATCACCTTTCTTTTCGTTTATCATCTCAATCGTCATTTTGTTTTTACTCGCAGCTTCCTTTCTCTTGCTCAATCAAGATTTAGAACCATCTCGCTATTAGAAACCACAATAACAATGATAACAAAACCGTCATCAAATCCAGCACAAGGAAACAATAAAACACCCTCTCAATATGTCGCGAGTAAAAAGATAACATGTAGACAAGGTAAGGAAAAATGCAAAAAGGAATGCCTACTACAGGAATCGAACCTGTGATCTTTGCATATCGAGACAATGTACCCGCTTGGCAAGCCAGTTGGGACAAGGTTATACAAGTGCAACGCATTAGCCACTATGCTAAGCAGGCGACTACCTTGCTTGGGAGGTATTTGTTGGAAAAGGGGTCAACAGCGGTTACTTATCAAGGGCAAATGAGGGGTATCCCGACACAATACCAAAACATGTTTAGCACCAAATAACAGTAACAAGCTTAACCTGACAACAATACATCGCGAAAAAAAAGCTTAAACAAACGTTCGATAGTCCAATATGGAATGAATTGCTACGAATATAACGATTTCAAATAATTATTACTTTTCCTGGCTAATTCTCGCGGAGCAGACACTGAACAACATTGAACTCTGAACAAAGGATCATTTGTCGCAATTGACTTCCACTCGCTTGCACGCCTTCTTCATAGGTTTCATTGAACCTTTCATCACCAACTGCGTTTTTCCGTGTCAGTTTCAACCTTGATTTTTTACTTCCTCCACTCACGGTCCTTGGTATGGGACATAAAGTCTTCATGATTTGTTAATTAATGATTTCTATGAGAATAGTAGCAAAAAACATTTGCTCAGTTTACCTATTCAATGCATGACCACTGCTTGACCCCCAACAACGCTCTGCATCTGGCCCATCGCATCGTTCAATGTCGTGATTGCGGGATAATCTGGGCGCGGGGGTCATGAAAGCGACACTTCAAAGATGAGGTGTTCTCCCGCCTTATCCAGAATTGTTTTATTTTCTGCCCCCTCTTTGCTTTTGGCGGTGAAAGAATGCGGCTGAGATAGCTGCAGGACAACTGCACTTCTGCAGGTCTGCGAATGTTTTTGGGCGTCTTTTTTTTTCTCCAGTCATCAATCAGACTCAGCGAGAAATTCTCATAGACGCATAAAGCGGCCCGTCTTGAACCCTGCAACTTGATAATTTTTCAGGTGGTCATGGATTTGCGGAAAAGCGGGAGATTCTCCGTATGGATTAGGGAAACATCATGAGGCGGTTTTCATATCAGCATGTCTGGCGTTTTAGACACGGGAGGATGGGTGTGTGCTTGTATTACTGCGTTAATATTATGCCCTCCTGTCAACCCAGGAACATTCTTATGCCATTTACTCCATCTGTACTGCTTTGTTGGGACATCGGCGTACCAATGATAATAGTCTGCCAGACTTGAACCCCTTGATGTCTTCGTCCACCTAATCTGCCCAACATTTCCGCAACTTACGACGCCTGACTATTATTACCATGGGCAACCCCCCCCTTCGAGTTTGCCTACACCCACCTTCGTTCTTCTACCAAGTTCCTCGCAGCCGAAACACAAACGACCCAGCTTACAAACAAATTACTTCCCGTAAATCAAAGCCCTACAAGATGCATCAAAAGAGGGCTCTAGACGGAACGACGAAAAATGATGAACACCATCAAAAATGTGTGGCTATGAATTTGTTCGAGGTTTGGTAAAAAATGTGTGTGGGAGGTGGTTTGCTTTGATTCTGACTTTCTCCCAGAAAAAATTCCAGCGCTCCAGCTAAAGGTATGAGGCCAGCCAAGGCGGCCTTAGAAGATATCAAAGTGAAGCGAAGTGAAGTAGAAGGGATAACAAAAGATAAAAGAACAATAACATGGTGGTATAAGAATTCGCAAACAGACTGGTGGTATATGATGTGCAGCAAGCAAGATCCCCATAACGCCATGAATTCGACAAAAAACCGAAAGGGGCTAGCTGGCTGCCAGATTGAAGAAAGGGCCAGGCTAGAAGCAGAATCAAAAACGTATAGAAGTCGCAAAAAGAAGAAGGGGGGTACAAAAGATGAAAACGGGAAAGGTTAAAGTGAGTGAAGGTTGTTGGCAAATGTGGTGCAGTGACATGCGGTAAAAGGGGGGGTTCAAGTTCCACAAAGATGACAGACATCAGATGGCTGCAGCTCTTGGTGCTCCTCCTCTTTCCCTTTGGTTGCCTGCCTTGATGAAAGAAAGCAAATCCTCCTCCTTTGCTTGTGATCGAACAAGAAGTGGTCGGCGGCATGGAATGAAGGAAGTGAAAACAAAAGGAACCGACCACGCCGGGTCAAACCACGTATGGACCTCCTCTTTGTGCCCTCCTAATAACCTCTGATGTAACAAGTTTCCTGCCTATGTACATCCACCAGTGGCAAACACCAAAGACAAGCAATAAGCGGTGGAAGTGAAGTGAAACAAAAGGGGTAGCGAAGAGAAGCAAGACTCTACATAGGCAAGGAAATCGAACTTGATCGTGTTGACAACACGGTGTTGTGGGTGACCGAGTTTAGTTCGGTCCACCTCTTCGTCTCCGACCACGGCTCGGGCCGTCAGGACGTTGAGCAAGGACTTCGCGCAGTAGGGGATCGTCTTTGTCCTTATCGGTATGGTGCACTCGGACATGTCTGCAATGTGAGTGTTAGCAATTCATCCGCTTCAAAACATTTGAATGAACATGCTTGCCTCTGGAGGTTATCAGGACGAGGGTATTTGTGCTCTCGGTCGGGACAGAATGGGCACACATAACCCGGTGAGTCGTGCACCAACCCATGTCTGATCATCTCGTTCTTGCGCTTGAATCCCCTTCCACCTTCGCCTCGGGAACATCCTGGCACGGGGCAATAATGAGGTCTAGCGGATGAGTGAACATTTGCGTGCGAGTTGAGCAGGTACTGCGTCTGGAACGGCGCGGCGTTGCAACCCTGGAATTTGCACACATATGTGCCCGTGTGGCTGGTCAATCCGTCAATGCTCATCCTGTCGGCTATTGATCCGGGTGACGTCGCCGGAGCATTCATGTGATGGCGCGAATGGTCCGGACCCGAGGACTCTGAGCCATTGGCATAATCGTGAGGCCGCTGGATGCCATTTCCTTGAGAAAAGTAGTATGGCGAAACGGGCTCTCGGCGGTATGGGTCGGCGGCCGATTGTGGCGGGGACGCATGGTTTGAGTATGACAGCAGGCTAGTCGGAAAGCCTGGAGGTGAGCCGGGGAATGGTTGATGTGGACTGCGCTCGATTATCGGATGAGACAGCTGGTTGAGATCCGCCACACCTAGCGAGTCCCTGATAGATGGAAGTGTCTGCTGTGCAATTCCACTAAAAACAGGCGACGTCGGTTGGATTGGGGGTAAGCCTTCGGGTAGGCTGTTGGGTGTTAGGGGGTTCGTAGGTGAAGCAATCGATGGTATGCTTCCAGGTTCTCGGGGTGAAAAGGCATTACCTCGTGGGCTGTACGGAGTAAGCATCGCAGGCTGCGTTAGCCTCTCTGTGTCCTTATCTGCCTCTGCTCGCCTTGCTGCTATGGTCGGTTGAGTCGTTGTCGCTGGTGCGCTCTCCTTGATGGTATCATGCTCGGTGATTGGCGGCGTGGGACCTGCATCTGCCTCTTCCTGCTTGACACTAGGAGCACTAAGGTTTTGAACCACACCCAGTGCACCAGCTGCTAGCGACTGCAGGCTATCAAAGCCACCACCGGTATCAACGTCCCTCGAAGGCTCGGCTGACATGTTTCGACGTCGGAGGCTAAAGTGAAGGTGTTCGATATCATCGCGGTCCTCGCCGTTGAATTGCGGACTCTGAATTATGTCGTTACCATCCATGGAGGAGGCGCTGTCGGGCTCAAGAGAGTCTTCTCTGTCGGTATCGGAATGCTCTGACGGTAAGGCTTCGAGGCCGGCTTGGATGGCAATCTCTGGACGTCTCCCTCCGTCAAGCATGTGAAGCAGGACGGCATCACCCTGACTAGGTCTTGACTTTATGCGACGATCAGACCTTTTGTTTCCCGGACTAGAAGGAGGACTGACTTTGGGGTAGGGGAACTCGTCCAGCGAGCTCGTTGGTGGCCCGAGTTGAGGGTGATAGGGCTTCATCAACGGGCTATTCTGGGCTAGTAGTACCTCATCTGGATCGTAGCGATCTCCTCCAGTGGGATCGTAGGCAAGAGTGGAAGCGGCCGTCGTACTCATAATTTCGCGTGTTCGTCGGTGCTCTCGCTCGCGGAATGAACGTCTATCAGTTCGCCATCGAAGATCGGGCCGACACGTGGATGTTGTGATCCGTAGACCGTAGGTCGTCCGTCATGTGCTGGAGACAAGTTGATCTTTCCACCTCTTGTAGCAACCACTCGTGAGGGTCACCGGCCGTACAGTTCGCCCCGGTCGTCCCTTGGATCCCCGTCAACAAAGCCCTTCCCGAGGGCTCCCAGTAAGCGATCCTGGTAAGTTCGTAGTCGATGTATCGGATATGCGAGTTCGCGCGCAGTTGTGACCATGCGCTGGCGAACGGCAGCGTAGGGCGGCGGGCATGTAAGAGCCGCAAGGAAGCAGCCCAGGGTTGTGTGGTGTGCGTGTGTGGTGAGCTTAGCGGGGGGAGGAAGGGCCCAGGTCGAAAGTCGCAAAGCAGATCGGAAAGGACGTGTGAACGCGACGCTGCTCTGGGCTGGGGAGATCAGGCAAGCGGGAGCAGCCTCTGACTGATTTGATTGAGCGGGGGTTTGTAAATTGCAAGCCCGAGTCGGGAGCCAGATGGAACAGCCAGATGGGACAGTGAAGCGGGAGGGGGGGCTGGGCGTCTGGGGAAAGCTGAAGGCGCGGAATGCGGCTCAATGGCCCTGACAGCAACGGGCTGGTGGATATCCGGGACAAGGTAGAAAAAGGAGGGAGATTTGAAGCAGCAACGGCACCCAGACTCAGAGAGCGATGATGGGATGGTAGCAGACACACACGACGATGGGAACACAAGGGTACCTCTAGTGTAGTGCGAGAGAGTGAGAGCGTGCAAGGTCAAGGTAATCCGTATTCCGTGGTTACCTTGGCTACCAACCAGGAGTCGGGCGGCCAGTGATAGTCGAATCCAACGACGAAACTACTAGGTGAGGCCACCGAGTCTTTTTTTGGTCCGGAGATTCCCACACCGTTGCTTCAGTTCGGTCCGGTCTCTTTTTGCGGCCGCTCTGGTGGGTTGGACTGTGTGGTGGTCTAATCTTCGACGAGTGGTTGAGAGAGTGAGTGTCGTGGGCCGAATGGGAAACCTAGGTAAAGAGAGGCACAGAGGGTAGGTAGAGGTAGGTAGAGGTAGGTAGCG